TAAAAATAATTATAGTTTGATAGATAGTTTCAAAAAATGTATAGGGAGGTCCCAGGTACCCTTCACCCCAGTTTTCCCCAATGGTAACGTCTTATGTAACTATAATGCAGTATCACACTCAGAAAATAAAGATATTAGGGCCAGGTGTGGTAGCTCACACCTGTAATCCTAGTACTTTGGAAGGCCAAGGCAGATGGATGATCTGAGGTCGGGAGTTCGAGACCAGCCTGACCAACATGGTGAAACCCCGTCTCTACTAAAAATACAAAATTAGCTGCGTGTGGTGGTGTATGCCTGCAATCCCAGCTACTCAGGAGGCTGAGGCAGGAGAATCGCTTGAACCCAGGAGGCAGAGGTTGCGGTAGGCCGCGATTGTGCCATTGCACTCTAGCCTGGGTAACAAAAGTGAAACTCTGTCTTTAAAAAAAAAAAAAAAAAAGCAAGAAAAGAAAGTGCTATCCATGGAATTTATTCACATTTCTCCACTTTTACTTGCACTCCAGGTGTGTATGTAGTATTATGCAATTTTATATAACCACTGCCACAATTGAGATATAGAAGTGTGTTATAAACATAAGGCTCCTTCCTGCTATCCATATGCAGCCACACCTATCCATCCTACTCATTCCTAACCTTTGGCAACAACTAATTGTTTTCCATCTCCATAATTTTGTTACTTCAAGCATGTTTCACAAATATACAGGTTTTCACTCAGCATAATTCCCCTGACACCTATCCAAGTTATTGCATGTATCCATAGTTCACCTTTTTTACTGCTGAGTATTCCACAGTATGGATGTACCACAGTTGGTTTAACCATTTACCAGTTGAAAAAAATCTGGGCCATTTCCAAGTTTTGGCTACTCATATTACAGGTTTTTGTGTGATCCATAAGGTTTCATTTCTCTGGGATAAATATCCAGGAGTACAATTGCTGGGTCATATAGTAAGTGCATGTTTAGTTTTTGCGGCAACTGCCAAATCGTTTTCCAGAGAGTTTAACTGTTTCACAATCCCACCTCCAGTGAATAATGATCCAGTTTCTCCATATCCTAGCCAGCCTTGGTACTGTCACTATTTTTTTTCAACTATTCTGGTAGGTATAATATAAGATAGTCTGATATCTCATTGTGGTTTTACTCTTCATTTCTCCAATGGCTAATGATGTTGCACGTTTTCATGTGCTTATTTCCATCTGTATATACTCTTCAGGAAATATCTGCTCATGTCTTCTGGTGTAGGCTTTTGAGAGTTCACATCCATGTCTATCAATTACCCAATAACGTTCAGACCCTGCTCACAGCAATTCGTCAATATGCATATGTAGTTTTCCCAGGAAGTTATAACATACAACATAATAGCATTTCTGACACATCCTTCCTCACCAGTTTACAAAGGCAAAATAATACATGCTCACTATAAAAAATTAAACTTGAAAGAACAGAAAAAATGCATATTGCCAGAAGTCTCACAACATAGAGATAAGCACTGCTAATATTTGGTGAGCATACTTCTAGATTTCTTTCTGTATATAAATGCTCTGCACACCTAAAAACTCATAGGTTTTTATAAATAGGGGGATACTATTCTGCACCTTGCTTCTCCTGAGCATATATTATCGACATCTTTCCACACTAGTATAGACTTTCATTATCATCTTAATGCCGTATAGTAATGCATTACATGTGTATGTTTACTTAACTAGCTTCCCTATCAATGGGATATTTAGGTCATTTCCATTTCTTTTTGTTATTATAAACAATGCTTTAAATAATGTTCTTGGCTGGGCACGGTGGCTCATGCCTGTAATTCCAGCACTTTGGGAGGCCTAGGCGGGTGGATCATTTGAGGTCAGAAATTTGAGACCAGCCTGGCCAACATGGTGAAAACCCACGTGTATTAAAAATACAAAAATTAGCCAGGTGTGGTGGCACCTGCCTATAATTCCAGCTACTTGGAGGCTGAGGCAGTAGAATCACTTAAACCCTCCTGGGAGTGGAGGTTGCAGTGAGCCAAGACTGTATCACTGCACTTCAGCCAGGGTGAGAAGAGTGAGACTCCATCTCAAAAAAAAAAAAAAAAAGTTCTTGTGGGAATAGCTTTTTGGATTTTTATAATTATTTTCTTAGGGTAAGTCTGTAGAAGTGGGATTGCTGAGTCAGTTATATATACATGTATGTACATACACATGTACACTGATATACATGTATATACATATATACTATGTCAGTTTGTAAATGTTTAGGAACTGTCTTTTAGAAAGATTGTGGAAATTTACACTTCCCCCTGCCCTGCTTAATTAGATTCTTTTTTTTTTCTGAGATGGAGTTTGGCTCTTGTTGCCCAGGCTGGAGTGCAATGGTTTGATCTTGGCTCACTGCAACCCCCACCTCCGGGGTTCAAGCAGTTCTCCTGCCTGGGAGAATAGCTGGGATCACAGGCGGGTGCCACCATGCCTAATTTTTTTTTTTTTTTTTTTTTGGTATACAAAGTAGAGATGGGGTTTTGCCATGGTGGCTAGGCTGATCTCGAACTCCTGGCCTCAGGTGATTTGCCCACCTTGGCCTTCCAAAGTGCTGGGATTACAGACCTGAGCCACTATGCCTGGCCTTAAGTAAGATTCTTATAAGGTTTTTACCTTTTTGTTTGCACTCCCCTTCCAGAGAATTTTTCTCTTTTTATTAAGGATTGGAACACATAAGTCTAAAGAATTTTTTTTTCACTGTGTCACCTGGAGTGGAGTGCAGTGGCACCATTATAGTTCACTGCAGCTCCAAACTCCTGAGCCCAAGGGATCCTCTCTATCAACCTTCGAGTAGCTTGGGACTACAGGCAACGCACCACCATGCCAGGATCCAAAGAACTTTTTATTGTTTACAATTTTTAAAGCATTAACTGAGACGGAGCACAGGACTCTGTCAGGTTAGATCAGTAAAAGTCCCATACTTATTAAATGGCCATTTTCTGTACCTGTTCCTCCAGGACACCTTCTGGTAGTGTGGTTGGCTTCAACGGCTTTGTTATCTGGCCATCTAGTCTGCTACCCCAATGCTCATGGGGAATGATAAGGATAAGCAGCACACCAATGACATTTACTGTGGACAAAAGAATTAAGATTAGGAGAAAAAAAGATTCCAAGATGACTACCAGCATGCCCAAACTTTAAAGAGGAAGAGCTGTGGCATGGAGACTATACATAAAACTGTAAGTCCTTGCAATGTTAGAGATGTATTGTAAAGTTAGATGATACTGCAGTTTTGGGTCGTTCAGATGCTCTCACTCTTTTTTTTTTTCATTTGATCAAAGAATGAAGTACAGCATTTTAATTGCGATCTAGAGAAAGACCAACTTACACTGACATACTGCCTAATTTGAAACCTGAGTTTTATAGTAGCCATTGGGCTTATTTTTCAAGGTACAACAGAAAATGGTTTAATGAGTATATCTTTTACATGATGATGTTAATATATTTTTGCTTACAAACTTCCTTAGATGGATTAGGCAATACAAAGACTGAATGCAAAATTTTATCTTTTAGTATTTAGGAAGCGTGTTTGTGATACATCTAACACTAGGTAATAATTCGGTTACAATAGCATCCACTTATTTCTAACACTTCCTCAGCAGAATTTTTTCATTGCTTTGTTTACAATTAAATGCTCACACCTTTAACTTTTCAGCAACATCCTTTCCCCTTCCTCACACAAAATTTTCCTAGATTGTAGAAAACTAATATGAAAGCGTTTGCAAGATACTTAAGGTGGATTTTTGGAGTGAGTTCTGGAAATTTTTGTAACTTTGAATTTGCAGTGCTAGATATAACAGTGGAATTTTGCAGTTACTGTGTATCTGGCTTCTTATTAATAGTGCAATGGCAAAATACCTCATTATGCTCTTCCCTTTCCTAAGCATTTTAGCCTCTATTAGTTTCTCCGTGCAGGTGTGCTGAAGTAGATTGTTAACTGAATGCAAGGGAAGCAGGTGGGGTGGTGGCCAATCAGAAGGGCCAGGTTCCAGTTCTTCCACAGAACATTGGTTGTATGACCTTGCACACATCCCTAACATTTCAGCTTCATTATATTTAAGACTAAATGGTTGGAGACCTCATAAAGGTCCTTCAGATATAAAATTATATAAAAATAATTCATAAACCCATGTAAAGATTAACAGTTTTTGTCAGGCATTGTACTTTGAAAGGCACACCTTAAACCTTTAATTTTGAAAAATCTGGTGACTATGCACAAAAAGTAGTAAAATGACACAGTAATTAATAGAAAGCCATCATTACTCGTTTAACGTGCAAAGATAAAACGCTCAATGTACACTTCTTTGGTCCTGGAGATGACTAATTACAAGTATCTAAACCTCACATTTAGCATCTCTGTGATCTCAGGCCTTTGAGACTATTTCTATATAAGACCAAACGGGCCGAAAGAGTTGTAATTTATTTTAGGTCGGTGGTTCGGTGGAGGGTCAGGGGTGAGGGGTCCAGCACTCCCAGTATTTCTTGGAGGGCGTTCAGCAGTCTCCAGACCGGCTGACTCTTTAACTCTTATCTGCACGGAAACGTGTCACTCTTTGGAATGAAAGACGGCTCCGCATTAATGACTTGACCAAAAATGGGTGCTCGTCTCAGATGCAGGGCAGTGACTGTGTAATTCCATCCTCGACTCGCAGTAGGAAGTTAAGTCCTCTTAAGGGCCAGACGTTCGGAGGACCAGGCGGGGAGGTTACAGGCACCAGGACACTCAGGCTGGCCGGACCCCCCGACCTGTAATAATGGGGGGGGGTCCTCCCTGGGACAGTCCCCGTGAAGCCTCCGGCGACGAGGCTGGAATCCTCCCACCCTTACTCAGGAGCGAGCACCGCGCCCGCGTGGAGGCGGCCACCTCCCTCTAGGGGGAGGAGCGTTCCGGGCGGGCGCAACCGTCCCGCCCCGGGGGGCCGTTCCCGACTCAGATCTGCAAGAGAGGGCGGAAAAAAATCCTGTGGCTCCTGACCTGTGTCCCGTTGCCCGGCGATGAGGAGAAGGCAGGGCCAACAGGAAAGAGGAGCCGGGCTCGGCGCAAAAAACGCACCCTCCAGAGCCGCGGCGGCACAGCCACCTTTTCTCCCCCTTCCGGCGGCACGCCCAGGTCGGCGCAGCGCTCCGCCTCCACCCGCGCGCTGATCTGCGCACGCGTCGTGCGAGCGGCCTCCTGGTCTCCTGGCTGCGCTCGCGCTGGGGCTGCGCGTCCGGCCAGCGGGGGCGCCGCAGCCGGAGCTGCCGGGGAGCCGGTGAACCGAACGGCCTCGAGGGAGGGGCGTGAGGAAGGCGGCGGGAGGAGGAGCGCACGGGCCGGCTGCCGTGCTCACCGCGGCTGAAGAACATGGTTTTCGAGTCGGTGGTCGTGGACGTGTTGAACCGGTTCTTAGGGGACTATGTGGTGGACCTGGACACGTCCCAGCTCTCTCTGGGCATCTGGAAAGGTAACGAGGCAGCCGCCGCTCCCCGGCCTCGCCTGCCTCCAGGCCGTCTCGCTGCCCGAGTCGTGTCCGGTGTTCTCGGGGCTTGGAGCACCTTGCTCGCCGGGAGCAGCCACCTGCTGGGTCAAGTTACGTAAAGCCGGATGGCAGTTCCTGGGCCTCCGCCCTCGAGTTGTTTATATTTTTGGGGGAAGGAGAGGGTCATGAGTGCGAGATGAAAAGGTCTGTTATTTTCCGAGCGGAGCGGAGGAAGGGACCGGCGTTCAACTCCCGGCGAGGGGCCCTTCTCTACCCCTGGCGCCTCGCGGTCCGGCTTCAGCCGCGTGGGGCGACGAGGCGAGACGCCGCGCTCCTGGGCTGGGTCCCTTCCCTGTCCTTTGCCCCCTTGGGGTTATGACGAAGGCCCCAGAGAGCCCACGCGTGTCTCCTGCTGCCTCGCACGTGAAGGCAGGGCGGTGTGACCCGGGACGCTCGCTTTCTTGCTTCCCTAGCCTAGCCTCAGTTCCCGGCTAGACCCGTGGTGCTTTCTGCGCTCCCCCTTCCGGCCCTAGGACCCGGACACCATCTCGCTCACCTGGCTTCGGCAGATAACAAAAAGGAAACTCACGTGCAGGGTAACTCAAACGGTTGCGTGCGTGTTAGCAGTTTACAGCCTGACCCAGGAGTGTGTCACATTTCAAGACTTTTGGATATGTGGGCCAGAGTGAACTGCTGAATTTTAAAGAAAAGCCAAGGCGTGCAGTGCAGCGTCTCAGACCTGCAAAAGACGGGGCTGAACCGGGCCTCACGCTGCCTAGGTGGTGACGGACCCAGCTTTCCTTGGGTGCGTTTAGTTTGGAGTTCTGCCTTACTGAGAGCCTCATTTTTAGCGTTTCCATCTGTTTTTGTATTATGCACTTGTTTATTTTAAACACCCGCTAGAAATTAGACTCCTTTATGAAATGAATTTCCCAGGCCAAAGTGAGAGTTAATTTTGTGTGTGAATAGTATGTGTATTTAAATATAAAGTAATTTATTCTCGACTATGCACACACTTCCAGCCTTCTGAAATACTTCTCTTGACTCTTCTTGTTTATGAGATGATGTAAACAGGCAATTTAGTTTGATTTTAAAGAATGTTGCTACGGTGGGGACCTAGTACAATGATGGAGAGTGAGTGAACTACAGAAATCTAGGGACATAATGATAGCTGTTTCAGCCTGTTTGATTAGTACTAGGAACTTGCAGACTGTTTTGTCTATGCTGCTTATCAGTTGCCAAGTGAAAATAAAATTTGGCTCCACCTACCTCAGAAGGAAGCCTTAAGAATACTTGAGGTGAGCTTTGATCTGTAGTGGAACCTTGCTTCTACGTTCAGGGTGGAGATTTGTCTAGAGTGATAAATCAACTTATTATTTTATTTAAAATTTACATGCAGTAACATTCGCCCTTGTGATACAATTTTGACTTGACAAAAGCTAAGAGGCATGTATCCACCACCACAATAATGACGCATAAAAGTTTCATCAGGCACCCTGAATTCTCGCAGGTGCTCCTTTGTAGTTGACCTCACCCCGCTTCCTGGCAGTCAGTCATCAATTTCCATCCTTTTAGTTTTATCTTTTCCAGAGTACATATAAATGGAATTATGTGGTATGTAGCCTTTTGGGTCTGACTTTAATTCATTCATATGTTGCATATATTAGTGAATTTCATTTCTGTATTTTTGAGTAGTATTTCATTCTATGGATGGACTGTATGTTTGTTTGTTTTTGAGACAGAGTCTCATTCTGTCGCCCAGGCTGAAGTGCAGTGGCACGAACTTGGCTCACTGTAACCTCTGCCTCCCAGGTTCAAGTTATTCTCGTGCCTCAGCCTCCCGGGTAGCTGGGACTACAGGCATGCCATCCCGCCTGGCTAATTGTTGTATTTTAGTAGAGATGGTGTTTCGTCATGTTGGCCAGGCTGGTTTTGAACTCCTGACCTCAAGTGATCTGCCTTCCTCTGCCTCCCAAAGTGTTGGGATTACAGGCGTGAGCCACGGCGCCCTCCTGACTGTAAGTATTTATCTGTTGCTAGTTGAAGGATATTTCAGTTTTTGAAGGTTATGAATAAAGCTGTCATAAACATTCATGTACAGGTGTTTCTGTGAACATAATTGTTATTTCTCTTGGATAAATACTTAAGAGTGAGATTGCAGGGTCATTTTAAATTAGGTTGTGTGGGTTTTTAAAAATTGAGATTAAATTCATATACCACAAATATCACCCTTTTAAAATGTACAGTTCAGTGTTTTTTAGTGTAATCACAAAGTTGAGTATAGTCACAATCATCCCCACTGTCTCATTCAGGAACACTTCAGCACCCCAGATTTAAACCTCCTGCCCATTAGGAGTGACTCTCGATTTCCTCCCACTTCTCCCTATTCCACCTCTGGCAACCAGTAATCTACTTTCTGTCTTTCTGGATTTGGTAATTCTGGAAATTTCATTTAAATGGAGTTATATAATATGTGGCCTTTTGTTTCTGGCTTCTTTAACCTAATGTATTTTCAAGGTTCCTCCATGTTGAAGGATGTATGACTATTTCATTTGCTTTTATAGTTGAATAATATTCCATTGTATTCATAGACCACAATTTGTTTATCCACACTCACCAGTTGTTGGATGTTGAGATTATTCCTAAACATCAACTTTTGGATATTATGAATAATGCAAATGAACATTCATGAACAAGTTGTTTTTTTTTTCTTGTGGATGTATGTTTTAAATTCTCTTGGATATATACGTAGAAGTGAATTGCTAGGTCATATGCTGATTCTTTGTGTAATCTTTTGAGGAACTGCCAAACTGTTTTCCAAAGTGTGTTCTTATTGTTGAGTTTTGAGAGTACTTTAAATATTAAGGATACAAGTTTAAATATTAAGGATACAAGTTTTTCATCACATACGTGATTTGAAAATATTTTCTTAGTCTTTTCCCACTTTGTCTTTTGTAGAGCATACATTTTAAATTTTAGGTAAAGCCCAGTTTATAAAACATTTCTTTTATGAATTGTGGCTTTTAGTAATCATATCTAAGAAATCTTTTCCCAAAGTCAAAGATGTTCTCCTACATTTTCTTTTGGAAATTTTGTAGTTTTAAGTTTTGAATCTCTTTTTGTGTAAGGTATATGATACGTGTTGAAGGTAGAGGTTCATTTGTTTGCATGTGGATTCAGATATCCAGTTGTTCAACACTACTTGCTAAAAAAAGACTATTCTTTCTCAAATGAATTATCTTTGCACTTTGGAAAAAAAAAAAACAAAACAAAAAACCAGTAGACTTAATACTGTGTGGGTTTAGTCTGTCCCATCAATCTGTGTGTCTGTCATTTCACCAATACCGCCCTGTCTTGGTGACTGTACCTTTAGTTAGTCTAGAAATCAGGTAGTGTGATCCCTCTAACTTTAGTCTTTATTAAAGAATTAAAAAAAAAAACAAGTCATTGTCCAGGTGCGATGCTTATCCCTGTAATCCTAGTGCTTTGGAAGGCTGAGTGGGAAGATGGCTTGAGCATAGGAGTTTGAAATTACAGTGAGCTGTGATCATGCCACTGCATTCCAACCTGGGCAACAGACAGTGAGATCCTCTCTCAAAATAAAATAACTTGTCAGTGTTTTATTTATAGAAATTGGTTATATTTTGGTAAATGAAACTTTAAATAATAGGTGGAGTATTTTTTAAAAATATTCTTTGAGAATTTCAAAAGTAGTAACTTGATAAACTTAGAGGTTTTTTAAAAAACATTGTTTGAAAACTTCTGTAATAGAAGTTAGATGGCCAGGTGAAGTGGGTCATGCCTGTAATCCCAGCACTTTGGGAGACTGAGGAGGGCAGATCACTTGAGACCATTCTGGCCGACATGGTGAAACCTCATCTCTACTAAAACAGTAAGATACAAAAATTAGTTGGGCATGGTGGC